TTTTAAAAAAAAAAATGAACTCCTTATTTCCTGATCGATAAGAGGGTAGTCAACAGGTTTTGTTTTCTTTTTAAATTATTTCTCCTCTCTTACTGAAATACTCATTTTTTCACGTATACTGAGCATGGGTCATAGAGAGAAGGCTGCACTGGAAAAAAAAGTCGCTTGGATCTAGAGTCCAGACTCTTAAAAACATCGACAAGAAAAAGTACTCTTGATTTAATCGGATTTTTGCTTAAATCGAGAAGCAAGTCTCTTAGTTTAAGCGGATTTCCTTTTGATCGAAGCAAAAAGAAGATTGAATCAAGAGTATTTTTTCTTGTCATTGTTTTCAAGAGTCTGGAATCTAGATCCAAGCTACTTTTTTTTTCCAGTGTCCACAAATTCTCACCTGAAAATTGAAAAGTAACCTTTCGTTAAAATTTGTCAAAGCATCGTAGATAGTGTATTCTCAACCGCACAAGAAGCATCATTGATTGTGAAACCTAAATGCAACTAATCGCACTTAATGATTGCGCGTGTTGCGTGTTGAAAAAATGAAGGCGGTCCTCGATCACTCCAGCGATGTGCGCTGCCCGGAGGAATTGGAATCGGAGGAGTACATTAAATAAACGACATTTTGTAATAAGGAACTGCAATTCCTAGCTCACCCGTAAAACACTTATGTACTAAGGAAAACTAATAGTACTTAAGTTGTTTCTAAACTGAGCCTGATATTGTAGTTTCTACTTGCAAAATGTAGTCCAAATGATGTACCAAAGATTTCACATGATTTATTAATAATTTTCTCCGAGTCCTCTCAAAGCTTGGCGAGTGCTACTGACATTACATAAGGATCTCGCTGCAGGTAAGGAGGAAAAACTGTAAGATTCGGTGCCTGCCTTGAAAGACTTTGCATTGTTGCCGATGAGTAATAGAAATCACTTCAGTACTTAAACAAGTCAAAGCAAGTGCAAAACGACGAATGACGTGGCAACATTGAACCAATTTGTGCTTAATTGTAACACTTGTCCTCTCCGCACCGTATGTTTTTTAATTACATTAAAGAAGGAATAAATAGTTTAGACATAGAGAAAATAAACTAATCACAAATAAGCCTATCAAGAGAGAGTCTACATTACTGCAGCGAAGCTATGTCCGTTAATCGTTCAGGAACGAGCGACACGGCTTCTTCTAAATTTGCTCTCTGGAAGCTTGCCAGAAATTAATTCCACCATAATTTAGTGCTGTTGGGTACTAATAATGCAAAATCGAAATTAAGAATAATGCACTGATACCGTGGAATGGGAAAGAGGAAACTAAAGCAAAGACGGTCTCAAAAATCGAACTTTGCCGTGTTTTCAGCTTCTCAGATGAGTCGAATAGTAACTGATGCATAACCGACTAAAACTGGACCCTGGTAAAAATTGGCGATAGGAGCTGCGTTTCAAAATACCATGGGAGTTCTTATAGCCGACTGAAGAGGGCGATAGAAAATCATATAGCTGGCTGTAGAAAGTGGAAAAAATCATACGGCCGGGCTACAAGAAGCGATAAAAAATTATACAGCCGGGCTATAGTTCCTATCGCTGGGCTTTACACTTTATCGCCTGGCTGTTGCTTTTTCGCCACCGGCTATAAAAGGCCATAAGAAATTGAGTAGAAATTCTTGTGCTTTGTAAATCCTTAAGTTTGTACGAAATCACCTTAATATTTACAAAACGCACATTATATTTTCCTTTACTACATATTTTTTTCATCAACTAAAATGAGAATAATCCATACAGAGTGTGCAAACATTTCAAAGTCATGAGTTGAAAAACGCTGACTCCGCGAGATTAAATATATAAGAGCCTAACACAAAGCGGAGCGGCGGCGCACCGGCGCCTACAAACCTAACTTACTTCACGTATTCAGGGATACTTCACGCATTGCGCAATGCGTGAAGTATCCCTGTTAGGTTTGCAGGCGCCAATGCGCGTTCACCGCTAGCTGCCCGCCCGCCGCGCCGCGCCACGGCGCTTGAAGCAACTATTTCACACCAGAGGTATTGCACAGTATCATGCGAAATTGAAGGCGCTCCAACGCCTTAGGAATGTCAGGCATCCTTCAAAAGAATGGAGCTTTCCTCGCAAATTAAATCAATATACTGCGGCCCAAAAAGAGAGCGGTAGTCCAAAAACTCACTAAGTCCTAGCATCCGAAATTAGTAACGTTTGGCATACACTTTATCGCCAGGCTATTGCTTAATCGCCATCGGCTATAAAAGGCTATAAGGAATTGTGTTGCCGGCTATAGAAGCTATTGGAAATCTTATAGCCGGCTGTAGGTCTATGGTATTTTGGAACACAGATTCTACTGCCAATTTTTACCAGGGGAAAAAGAGGACAAAAACCGAGCAAGTAATGCTGATAGATTTAGAGAACCTCTCTTGTGAGAAGAAGCATACTAGTTTGACCAGCTTTTACTATGTTAATTATTAAATGCTACGGGAAATATAATTTGCTATTTAAAAAAAATAAAATACTTTTTTATCATCATCAGAGTCTTCACTCAACTAAAATCTAATTTATTATCTGATGTTTTTATCTATATATATACTACCCCTTCCCCCACCTCTTTGTGTCGCACGTCAATAATTGAATTATTAAAGGGTCCAATATGACACTGAGTTCAAAACATAAAAAAACTACTTGCGTCGATATCTCTTATTTATTTCAAAACAGCATATACTATTGAAAAAATACAAACTCGAACAATCTAGCACACCGAAAAAAACAAGTTCATACTTGTATGTTTCCGAGTAGTTTATTGAACCACAAACATGAATTCATGCGCGATATTTGATCTCATTACATCGTCATTTTGAGGCCCACTTCACGGACCCGCTTGGAATAAAATAACTTCATGCTTTTGAACCCCAATCGTAGTTCCAACTGTGCATAACAACCGACAAAAGAGACAGCCGGCAGTTATCAAACAATTCCGTAAAAGAATGCATATTAAAAGTTGCTACAGGCAGCGCTCACCGTTCACTGTGATCTCGTACCCCACAAAAAAGTAATAAAACGCTCGACCTAGTCATATCAATTTGAAATAAAATAAACCTCCGGTGTACGCTCGAGCACACGGCTCCGAAAGAAAAAGACAACTCAAAACTTATTCCATCAGTTATTTCCTACCAACCGATCTTTGCCCGCCCATGCTGATAGTATAGACTTGCTTTCAACAAATTTTCGGATTTTTACTACCGTGGAAAGGCGCTCAAAAAGTTCCTTACATGCTCAAAAACTGTGAAATTTCGATTTTTAGAGCTTCCAAGCGCAAAGTTTGGATGCTACCAGGCGAAGTGAGAGTGACCTGGGGAAAAAACTAAAAATTGTCCTTAATATACAAAGTATGTTCTGGGTTTGTACCAATTTTTGTATATCTATGGCGTCAAATCCCTGCCACTAGCCAAAATATGAAAATAAGACGATTAAAATGCCGAAAAAATCAGAAAAATTACCATCTTTAGACCCTGTGCGGGCCGGGTTAAATTTTTTTTGTCAAAATCCTTTTGGCCACCATATTTTTTTTTATCACATTGAACCATTTAAGACCGTGTAACATTTAGTTTGGTCGATTTTAAAAAAGGATGAGGCTATTCGTCGGTACGGTACCGACGGATAAATGGCTATTCGTCGGTACCGTACCGATGAATAAATGGCTATTCGTCGGTACCGTACCGATGAATAAATGGCTACTCGTCGGTACCGCATCGGCGACATTAATTAATAAAAATGTGTTGTCAAGCCTTGGTCCGAATGGACAAGCAAACGCCATGCCGGCACATCTTCTTGAAGCGAGAGCATGATCGTTTATCCTGTTTCGATGTATCTTTGTTTCACATATATTCGCTATCACAGAAAGAATGGTTGCTTAGATACAGAATGCCCAGAGGTTGATGCACTGTTGGAAGAATTTTCTGATGGTTTTTCTGGAGATTTGAAGGAGAGTGAACAAAGCGTAAAGGCACTAAGTGTGCGTGAAAAGTACAACATGATTCTGCCCATTGTTTTAAACATTGCTAGCCTAACCTCAGACCACGGAACCACGCAATTCAACAGTTATTTAAGTTCATTCAAGATGATTGAAAACATGGTAAGGACTGGAACAAATGTACAACTATTGTCAGTTCATGGTAGCTGCTCCACGGCTTGCGAATCTTCAGTATCTGTCGCTGCCCCAACTAACAACGATCATAGTGCAGAGAGCTATTCCACCACCAGCGAATCTTCGGTTTCTGTTGCTGCCCCAACTAACAACGATCATAGTGCAGAGAGCTATTCCACCACTAGCGAATCTTCGATTTCTGTTGCTGCTCCATCTGACGAAAATGTCAGTGCAGAGAGCTCCACGAAGCTAAAATTTAAGAGTAAAGTCATTTCACGAGGGCGACCTAAACTGCCAGCAAGACAACTTTGTTCCTTTAATCGCACCGTTGCCGACCGACAATCTGTGGAAAATCCCCCCGAAAAACGAAAACGAAAGAAAACACTTGCAAATGAAACTAAAGGCCCCACCACCCGAAAAAAAGAAGCGTTCTTGATTATTCTTTTGACAGAGTAGTAAATTTCAGCATTATGATGATTCATTTGACAGTGAAGTACATTTCAGTATTATGATTATTTATTTGACAGAGTAGTACATTTCAGTATTATGTGAGAGTATTAAATACATAAATTAAATTAGGAGAATATTTCTTTACAACTCGTGTTGGGTTTTTTTTTCCATCTTTCACCCAATTTTTAGCTCTTAACTTCCACCAAAATATTATTAAGAAATCATATCTTTAATATAATTTACGTACTAAAATCAAAGTACGGTACCGACGAATAGCTATTTATTCATCGGTACGGTACTGTCGAACAGCTATTTATTCATCGGTACGGTACCGACGAATAGCCATTTATTCATCGGTACGGTACCGACGAATAGCCATTTATCCGTCGGTACCGTACCGACGAATAGCCACTTCGTTTAAAAAAAATATTCCTACCCGTGGGAGGGGGGGGGGTTATACATTCGCAGTTTTTGTACAGTGTATCCAACTATCAAAACGATGTTTTCAGCCGTAATTGGTTATTTCAGAATAAGCCTCAACTGTGAAATGGTCGTCATTTAACAGAGAGAAAATGCATTTACGGTATTAAAGTTTGAAAAAGGGGCATAGGAGGAAGTCTTGATTAAACACCGTCCACTCTGATGACATGGCCGGTGTCCGTGCCTGCGAAAATGACGTCATTAGCATCCTGAGAGGACGTGAAAGAGAAGATGGTGCCACCAACGTCGACAGATCCGATATTTTTCTGCGCAGACACGTCCCATTTGTTTACCAATTTGTCGTATCCTCCGCTAAGCACGGTTGTGTCACCCAGCGCCAGTAGTTCGTTAACCAGCAGGTCATTTGAGAGCTGAAAACAGGTCACAAAATCCACGAGATTTCAATTCCAAGAAAAAACAGGACTCGCAATGATTAGAGTCCCTTCATAGAGAGAGTTGAAACAACGTGACTTATGGCTGTTACAAACGAGAATAAAGATTACAAAAATCGGGCATTTTCTGTAATCTTTCATCAACCCATTCCCGAATTTTTGTCTCTGTCCCCTCTCTCATTTCATTTGTTCCTTTCCGCATCCCCCATTCCCTGGTCCATCCCAGTATATAGTCTTTGCAATTGGTGAAAATGTAATCTTTATTCCCGTTTGTGACACTGTGAAGGCCTAAAATACGGGAACCAATCAGAGATAGAGTCGCATTGTCAATACTCTCAGTATGAAGGGACTCTAGGAATGATACCATACTACAATGCATTCGCTAGAAACGCCCAACATTATTTTTGAAGAGTCATCTATTACCTTTGGAATATTAGGTTCAAAATATTATGCCACGATCCTACGATGGAAACTGTTACAGGACCGATGAATACTTGACAATAAAATGTGTCAATGTGAGGTTAAAATTGCACAAATTTTCCGGGGGAAACCCCACGGATCCCCCCCCCCCTAAATGGTGGAAGGGGGGGTGTTCCATACCCTCAGACCCCCGGTAGTAGGGGGCCAAGCGGTCAAGCCCCCTCTGGCAAATTAGCCTAGCCGCGCCTATGGCGGAAAAGCGATTAATTTTAATGAAGCATGCGGGTTGAGGGTATTCATGCAATCATAGGTTCGTTTATTGCACTATTATCAAACAGAGCGATCGCACCCTCTGACAAGATGCCGCTAATGGGAAAGATTTCACCTGAGTTAATGTATGTTGTGTCGTTTTAATTTCTGGGGAAGGAGTGAGCTGAATCATGGCGTAGGTCTAAATTGGATTACGAGAGGGAATTTCCATGACAATAATTATACTAAAGCACGAAACTCCCCTTTCTTTCGTTAGACAAGCGGGTCAACCCTACGATCAATGGCCTTTGGATGAGTGGGTCAAGATAATGCCATTCCTTCAGACGGCAGACCTACTTGATCAAACTGGACAGCGAATAATCAGTTGCCACATTATCTGCATGCCTGTGTCCTATCGTGACGGATCGAGGCTTAGAGAAAAATGGCCATACAGATGGGAGTGAATTTATCACAAACTAAAGTTGACACAACCACTGGAAAGGATATTTACTTTTTTCCCCCATATTTTTTTTCTTTTTTTTCTCGATTTCTGGGTTTCAATATTCTCGCTTTTTCTTTTTTGAGAAACACAAAAAAATTAACATAATGACTTCGATAGTGTAAAACGTTTACAGAAATAAAAACTTAAAAATAATAAAAAAGCGAAAAATAAAAAAATATACATATACATGTAAAACAGAAGAAAGATAATTTTAAACGCTTAAGTGCTTACGAGTCACCGCGTGAACTTTTGAAAAATTAAAATATTGATTTCTTGGCATTACATAAACTATGCGAGGAAGTTTGAAATAATCTTAGAAACCGAGCCTGAACAAAACCCTGTTGAGATAAACTCGCAACACTGACGAGTTGTCTATCATAGTTGTTCACACAGGTACTCAAAATTGACAATCACATACGTTTGTGTGGATTCCAAACTCGGAATAGAAGACAGAAAATATTTATATTTTTGATACTATCATCATACGTGTGTCAATGTTGAAAAACTTCTTAAGATCTAGGCAAAATATACGCATTTTGAAGTAGATGGATGTTGTTTTTTCCCCTTTTGCGGTAGTTTTATCAGGATTCTTACTTCCACATCCGCTCTCACCCAACCTCAGCCCCAGGAACCACACTGCCTTAAATTTAACTGCATACTTAGATGCAAGGTAAGGGGAGTTCGTTGGATAAGTTCCACCAAAAATATATAAGACAGCCTGCGCAAAAAGTGCTTCAATCAAGTTTTAAATTTGACAGATCCGCGCGCTGAAATTCCGGTGAAAGTTCGCCGGGACGAAACTTCACTGCATGCACCTGCATCGTAGGAAAGTGACACCAAACCGGGTTAAACACTCGAAAACTTTTAATAAATTTTAAATCACGTTTACTCTACCATGCAGGCGGCGACAAGGATGGCGCTATCAATCACGCAATAATTTCAATTTTGCGGTGATAGTCCGCGGGGCTAATTTTGTTGGTGAAGTGGAATGTCTTTTCACCGAAGCTTGCGCTTCTATTTAGATTCTTATGAGCAAAAATGACGTTGATGTCTTGCGAAGTTCAATCCACGCTGTCAAGCTGAGCTTTTAAATCCATATTTAATGGCTCAAAACTGCAATTTTTGTGTTGCCGAATTTCCCTCATAATCCAAATATGTTTTTGGACAGTTTGAAAAAACAGCACATCACATTACATGTTTTCTTGTCACCTTATCAAAATTTCTGTTGGAAAAAAACAAATTTCGTGTGCTCTGTTTCGATTTTTTCAAAAAACATTACTTAATGTTACTGAATAAACCTTTTGAGGGCATTGAAGAATCTCGTAAAATTTTCAAAATTATAATGATATTTACTGCCTCTCAGAAACATATAATATGACCTCAAGTCTACAACGTTATAAACCAAGAGTTTTAATTTCTCTCATTTCATTAGTGATATTTTATTCCCTCTTACATAGAAGTAAAAAATCAGCTCAAGACCAAGAGCAACCTTTCTGTCGTCAAATCTGGCAAAATAAGTACAGTATATGCAGTTCCATCAAAGCAAATTCTAATATTTTGCAAATATTGACACTTAACGTAACATACACCGAAGAATATATTCACCAATGAATGAATACTAATTGAAAATATATATCTTTCAAATTTGAATTTCATCCTTCGTTAAATTTGAATGAGAAAATTGGTGTGAGGATTCAATTTTTTTGTCTATTAATTCTGATTATACTGAACATGTTCAAATATGAATTGTTTTTTGAATTCATGAAATTCTACAATGAATTCATGTTGAAAGAAAAACGCAGCAGTACATTTCTATAGGTGCCGTAATTGCTCGAGAGGGCATTCTGGATGAAGGAGCCTGGTACTGGCTCCTAGATAGTCGAGTTGGTGGTACACGGTCCGCAGGAATTATAATGGCCTACGCTAGACCTTATGTAGTATCATCCATACCTCTGGTTCTCTAGGAAATCTGTTAGCCATGTCAGACTTCTGGAATTGGCTACTAGGTTTCCTAGGGAGCATATATAGCCAGACATTCTGGTATCCACCACCATGTTCTGTCGCGCCGTTTGAACTTTCGCAGTACTTCTACGGGACTTGGAGGACAAGGCGCATAAATGCAGTTTTTGAAAAAAATGAGGTAATGATGATTTCAAGTAAAACTACTTATAATGGATATTCTGTAAACAATTTACTCCCAAGTTCCAGTTTTCAAGCATGAAAAAGTCAGTTTGAAATTTCTTTCCGCCACGAGGATTCATGTAATTTCGAAACTTCAAACACGAAAACCTCGAAATAGCAAAAACTGCCCTTATGCGCCTTATCCTCTAAGCTCCTCATCTCATGTCAATTGTTGTTCTAAGAGTGGAACTTTTTTCGCATGAATAAACCACTTATTGAGTAAAGACAGGCACCTTTTTAAAACGAGATTTCACAACACTCCTGACCGAGTTATTAAGCTCCGTATTTGTTAGGGCGTCCGTAAATTGGATAGCTATCAGCGAAAAAAGTCAACTAAAATGCACCGTGAGTCCCGGTAATACCGTGCTTTTATAACGACTGAGGCTCGTGCTAAAGTTTACCCAATTAAACTCCCGCTCGCTAAACGCTGCGTCGTCCGATTACGTAACGCTTCCAAAACGGGTGAAAAATATCCGCGCGTGCAGTACTGGAATCAGAGGCAGGGATCACTCAATATAAATAACCTAGATGTTACGATCTCCCCACGCAAGCCATCAAAGTCAAATTCGCCCTCGGAAGTTCCCTAAGGACACCACGCACATAGATCCATCCCTGGGGATGCAACTATTTTAACTCTTAGGGGCTGTTTTTGCCTATTTGTCAAAGCAAACTGACTGACAATCATTGTTACTATGAGCTCGCTTTCGCATTTTTGTGTCTGTGATGTAAAGATCATGAACTTTGATTTTGGTCCTCTGAATGATTATTCAAATTATGAGAAAATAAAAATAAATAAATGCATGAATAAACAGGCACGCAGTTTCAACAGAAAAAAGTTGAAGAGAGCATTGATAGTGAGGTCCATACTGATCAAAAATTAAATTGACTTTGAAACTAAAAAGGGAAAGAATAGCTATCTCGGTTGCAAAGTTGCATGATTACACATGCGCCAAGATAACATTTTAGGCCGCTTCCACCATCTTGGATTTTTTAATTTTGAAAATTTGACTTTTACGCACAAAAATATGCCCTGACACCGAAGTTTCACCGACATCGATCGAACAGAAGCTGGAATAGCATTTCGGGCCGCATCCACAATCTTAGATTTTCGTATTTTGTGGATTTGGATTAAAATTAAGGTATCCGTCATAAAGTGCCACCCGATACCAAGTTTCACAAACATCGATGGAACAGGAACCGCACTGCGCAGGATCAGTAGGACTCCGCGCGGTGGAAAACGATACCAGTCATAATTTACGTACGTCAGTGCGCCTTCATTTTCGTCTGACACTGTGCAATACTCCTGTGGCCGAATAGTTGCTCAAAGCGCCGTCATCGGTGTCGCTCCGTGATGAAAGGAGATCACGCTTACTCTGAATATAAAATACCTTACAATCTATGTAGAGTAGATTACTTAGCGCAAAAAATTAATCGTTTCGTTAATTGCTTTAAAAATGCAAAGATGCGTCAATTGCTTTTTAAGTTTCCTACAAATATCTTCGAAAAGAAGGAACATATTAAAATGCGTCCCTCGGTGGTAAATAGTTCATTGAGTGCTCTCTTGGTTCATAAATATTGCAAAATGCAATTTGTGAATGAACGATGATATTACAGCTCTTAATTAATGTAGTGCGTGGATATCCGCTGCATTGTTGTCATCATTAATATCTTCTCTTGAACATATCGTCGGTGAATGGATGTGGCTCTGATGTGTAAGTGTAGTGAACATTGATTAGGTAAAATATCAAAGATGCAATGAAATCGAAGTGACGTGTTATTACTTCCCGAAATAATTTACCTCACATTGCGTCGGATTGACAGGTTGAAAATTTTCCACCGGAAGATGCAATTGGCGCACGATAATTTTAGTTCGGTTGAATAGTTTAGTGGTTTCAGGAGGTTCAACGACTTTCTTCATCTCGTCGAGTGCTTGCATATCGTCAATTATTAAGTTATGACTGACAATAACCTCGGTATTTTGGAAGATGTAGCGTGGTTCTCGTTCACTCAACTTGGAAGGGCCATCGACACAAGCGCAGGGACTCACAGTATGAGAAGCGATCCTTGAACATGAATTTCCTTGTACCCGTCCACTTTCTCCCATCAACACTTCTTAATTTAAGCATCTGGGGACCGTTAATGAATTAACCATGATGAAAATCTAACTTTCGGACTCTTCTCGACCCTCCCCTAGTCTCACTCCTATCACTCAGGTTTAATTGTTTGTAGCCCCCCGTGAAAATTATACTACGCTGTGAAAAGTACCTACCCCTCCCCATGTGAAAAATGTTCACCATGTACCATGATTTAAGATCTAACTTCACGTAAATCTACAAGGTAGGAAAAATGTAACAGATAATGCGTAATTTATAAAATAAAAAGATTTGGTTTGTTTCGTGAGGAAGGATCTTAATTTTCAGGTCTTCCATTGGGTTCCTAGAGAGAAGGAAACTTAATATTTTCAAATAGTCGGGATAATTTTCTAATGTAACGTTTGATAGGACTTCGAAAATTTTTCGGCAAAAACTGCAAGTGTCAATCACCGTTTTATAATAGCACTGATCAAGATTTGGGAAATTTCGAATTACTGAGCTACCGTTTTTAAATGGTGGCAGGTAGTTTAGAGGCACAGTTCACAAAACGACGGTACGGATTTGATAAGCATTGTTTAACATTGGGGACATCCATCTCTTAATCGGTTGTTTTAAAAAATGACACGAACGTGTACGAAATTTTTTTGTTTTGTTTTTTGAGATTTGTTCAAACAGTGTAATAATTTTTTACGTAATAGGAAGCCGAAATTTTTTGTTGTACATTCAAAGAAAAAAGATTGAGACAGTATCTCTTTTTTCTTGCACGTGTCAAAAATCTAATTTTAAGCCAAAAATTCTTATAATATGATAAATTATAAAAGGTACACTTAGGCTCTGACTTAAAGAAAATTACATCCATAATGGGAGATAGTCATTGATTTTGTAGTAATTCAGATAATTTTATGAGGGGGGGGGGATCTTAGGGGAAAAAATGTTTGTATATAAGAAGAGAGAAATATGTCAGTTGGAAGAATACGCCCCTACGTTTCAAGGCATTAAAATTTGTATACCGTATGTAGAAATGACATCAATCAATAACAGGAATAAAAAATGCCAAAAAAAAAATACCATTTTGGTTATTTGTAAAGTTCTAACCGCCACATTTTCCAGCTTCAATAGGGAGGAGCAAAGTGTGATATCACTCAGCACAAATGCTCATCCCCCAAGTCCTGCAACCCTCATACTTGATCGGACCTCCTCCCTCCCCCTTGTGGGTTACGTCCTTGGTAACGAGGCTCTTACTCATGAGAGCTCGCTGAAAAAAGTTGTTCATTGGTGTGGTGAGGAGGGGAGCTTGTTTTTCCCCTTTAATTTTGAAGAGAACTTGTAGCAGATCATCGGAATAATCGTTCAATGTGACTCCTCGTATAGGTAAATTTCCTGCAGTTCGGAAGGCTGCAACATGCATTACTTAGCCTACTCAAAGCCGAATTATTAAAACCCATCTAGAATGCGTGCTCATCGGAGTAATGGTAGTGAGAAGAGAAAATAAGAAGCTTACCTTTATTTCAGCTTTTTTAGCAAACCCTGTTTTAGAGGAACTGTCATGAACCAAGAGTGTTTTTGCATCTCTTGAAAGGAAGCAAATCAAATCGCCAAGCCTTCTGATTGGACTGTGACCCTCGATGGTGCCTCTAACTGAACAAGAAGATTTGCTTCCTGAAAGGAAAAAGACAAAAATTAATACAATTCACATTATTTGTACCTCCGAAAGAGAAGTGATTAAATGAGGACATTAGTGAAAATGCTGACGAATATTCAAATTTCTACTTGTAGGAGGAAGCAGTTTCTAGGGAAAAAAACCATTGAAAGTAAATTATTAATATCATAGACTAAGTAAGTTACGTGCCAATTTTAAATTAAATTGAGAAGTATCCGAGAATTTCTTCGCAGAATTAATGCTTAATCATTTTGATTTTGGCATATTTGAAAGATTAAGTAGCCGTACTTTTGTTGTGTTTATGGGCAATAACTCAATTTGAAAAGGTGCCAATCCAGTTATTTTAAGGAGGTATACGCTATGCGCCTACCTGAAAGAATAACAGCGTGTTTTTTTACGAGTATATTTTTATCAACGTGCTTTAAGCGTACCGAGTTTCATCCAAACACCGCATGCTCCGTATTTGAATGAGAAATTTTCGCAAATGGAATGTTTAATAAAAAAAAAATAAATAAATAAATAAATAAAAAATTAAAAAAGTCATGGTTGTGCAACAACATTTGCATCGACTTACCGTCATTTCTCTCACGAAATAGCGTAATCTAGCTCAATGTTGCTGGATTTTCTCGCGCAAATTGCACATTAACTAAATAAAATTAAATTAAATTTTGGAAATTTCTAATTGAAAATTTCACTGATTTTTCCTCTGATCTCGCGATAAAGCAGACACATCTTCAACGAAAATTATGCAGGTCTTGTAAAAAATTGAATCGTTTGAATATACTTCGCAACCTTGGAATAGAGTTGCGTTTTTTCGTTCGAGAAACGACGTATTTGCTCCAAATATTTCAACAGTTCCGTGATTTAAGGACCTGCATTCGATAAACTCAACGTCAAACGGAAAAATGCAAAACTCGTCCCTGAGTAGCAACTTGCACCGACAATTTTGAAAATAAGTTGCATTTAATTACAAGAAAATTGCGAATTTTTATCACGATTGCAACATTTTTACATCATTTGACCGAAAAATGTCGATTTTAGACGATCGAGAAAACAAATTCCATGTATCAGAAGTATAAGAAATTTATTTCAATTGTATTGCAATACACAGTACTACAAGAGGAGTCCCTTCAATTAGTAGATAAGCTTCGCACACATCGATTCAATACAGTTGCGAATCTTGCAAGTCGGCAACACTAATTTTTTTTTTTTTTTTAAATTTAAATGTATGTTAAACAATCGATTCTCTGTGAAGCAGCCTGTCTCGCCTAGAATCGATAGATTCAATGGATGTAAATGAAGGATAAACAGTGTTGCCAACTTGCAAGAATCGCCACTGATCCGATAAAATATCAATGAGTCTACCATGTAATCGCATTTTATTGCAATCTGCACTCCTTTGGTCTTGAAATTCTTCGATTAATTTACCTCCTTTGGATTTATTATTCTAAAATTCTGGAAAAGAAAAATACCTGGCTTCATTTCGGTGACGACGACATCCAAACATCTAGCCGTGTACAAAGTGTTCTCTATGACAAGGAGGTCCCATATTTCCTCCATAGTCTCATATCTACCCGACAACTCATCATTTTCCCACGCTTGGACCTGAAAAAGAGGGATGAATTTGTCAACATTCACTCAAGGCTGGAGAACATTCAAACCGAGGTACCTAATAAAAAAAACCCGGGAACATTCCCGAACAAAGTGGGGTAGAATTAAATTAATCAACAGACATTGTGCGATGTGACATACTTTCAATCTCAGAAAAAGTCCCTGTATTCGCAGAGATGAAAAGTTATACATCAATGCCGCGACGACCCATGAAAAGAGGGCGTTAGCCCGGTGATAGACAGCGTCCTGCAAACTCATATTTTATCAGATCTGAATACCTCCTCCGTAAAATTCAACGACAAAAACATCGCTCCCCCGTTGTGTGAAAATGTGTACATACAAAAATGACACCGCCAATGCTGTTTGTAAGAGACTATATCTCAGACGTGTGTGAAAACTATTCTTACTAAAGGGATTTTTTCGAGTTATTTTGTACTTTTCATATTTAGCAAAAGTCAATGTGATAATTTACAATATATTTTTTCATCGCAACGTGATACAAGCGGTACTCACAACTCCTTGGTCGCTCCCGGAGAAGAGTTTTCCCCCTGACACATGTAGTTTGGTCGTATCAGATGTGGAGTCTTGGAAGATTGTCTTCTTTTTCTGGAAATCATTGGCATCCCAGGATTGAATTGTGCCGTCATTCGAGCACGAGTAAATAGTGTCGTTCAAAATGGCTGCACTGTATACATTGACGGGATGCGCTTGAAAAGATGTAATGAGCTTTAAATCTGGACTCCAGACCTGAAAAATGAACCGAACCAACATCATGCTTTGGGCCGTTATGGTGTGCAGTGAAAGGCATCAAAGGTTAGCATGAGATTGAAAAGTGTCGTCTTCTCTTTCTTCCTCTTTGTATTGCTCTTTATCTTTACGTCTAGAAGCAGCGTTTTCATAATATCTACAAAAAAAAGGAAGAGGCTTTCCCTTTCTAAGTTTCTTAATAAGAGCGGAACGGGAGGGGGGAAGCAACTCGAATTCATGAGGAAACTAAAATTTTTCCAGGTGTAAGCAGTTTACTCATTTTCAGTGCACTTTTATTTGAAGACCAAAAATTCATAACTGACGGGTGTCGCAAAGATTGTGTGTTCTCGCCGTGCCGCACGAAAAAATTTACCGTCGAGAGCCGCTCTGTCGCGTCATGGAAAAACGCCGTAAGAACATTCGAGAGTTGCCAACGAATTTTCTGGAAAACTTATGAATATTTTCGCTCTAGTTTTTCAGATAATTTTGTTCGCAATTTCATCTAAAGGTCCTGAAAATTTCGAAGAAAAATATTCATAACTTTCTTCAAAAATAAACATTTCATTGAGGGAAATTTGGCAACTCTCGAATGTTCATACGGCGTTCTTCCTTATAGCACGGCAGCGCTGTTCCGTTGACTCTTCATAACGGTCTTCTTTTTGTGTTCACTTAGTCTTCATTCTACGAGAAGAATCTCCATTCTGACACGACTTGAAATTCAAAAAAGTTAAACGATATCTTAATCCTTTAATGCTGATTTATAGATGTATTTTATTTTCAATAACCAAAAATGTATCAAAATATTTTCAATATTTTACAATTTGATGACAGGTGCGCGCTGAAATTTAACCGGTATCTTGTACACGGCGGAAGTCTGATGATTCTATGTTTATGGTTTCCTCATACAATTTGATCACTCGTATATTTATGTGAATAGTATCATAAAATTAGATGTCACCGAGTATAAAAGATATGCACATACACAGAGGGCTTAAGAAAAAACCTCAAGTTATCTTCATTGCTGCGGTGGGTACGTGCTTTTATAGAAGTAGTCTTCTAAACAGATCTTGTTTGCTTATAGTGACTTTCACGGTATCACTAGAAATACATCGCATCGGTCATGTAAGTACCAATAACAATGGTGAAACTACTAGGAGACGATTAACCATTTTGGTTTGTTACATCACATACTCCCTGCCACATTTTGTTAAAATGCAGGATTCAAGAAAGCCAAAATAATTTTACATTAAAAATTAAGTTTGATTAATTTTTTATTAGTATAATTTTTACTGCCTCAACGTGGTTTTAAGAAATTTCACCGACTAACGCCGGATCTATCTTGATAATATTATTTGTCTAAAAGAAAACTAAGACTTGTGCATCAAACCGGAAATTTTGAAACACCAAGCAAAACGTGTTTCTTTAGTTTTACCATCGGTATAGAACTTAAAGAAGTTAAAGTTACAAAAATTTTCCTAATTTTTCTACACTAATTTAAAAGCACATAAACGCAATTTTGAAAATAAGTGATCAATTAAAGCGCTCCCGCGTCAAATTGATATCGCATTCCTTTTGCACAACTGCCGAAATTTCACCGTGCGCTTGAAATTACACAATTGAAAATAAGTCTCACTCAGCCGAACACAGGCAACACTTACTTTTATGTATCCATCATTAGCGCTACTGAACAACCGACCCTTATAAAAGAAAAGAGATGTGATTTGATCGGCATGTTTATCAGTCTCGGAACACTGAGCCGCTTTTTTCATGCCCATCATCAACCGCGAGGGATCACTGACTCATCTGGACTTTCGGGAACAGCTGAGCTGAAAGTTGTCTCTCGCAAAGCTATTTTTATGCAGAGCGTATGGAATATTCTCGTAGTTCCGTGTCACAAGAAGTTCACTATCCCTCGGCACCAAGGTGCCTCGCCGATTGAGTCTAGCGCATGATTGATGACTTGTTATTATACTTTTTTATTCGCATTCATTCATTTTTCCCCTCAAAAAGTAAAGTTTGAAAACAGCCCTCACTTTCAAGAACTCCGCTGGGAAAAATGAAATTTCAAAATTCCGTAACATCAGCCGGATTGCCTTACCCTCGAGCAGTTGAGACTAATGATTCGTTTGCGTGGGGAAGTCAAATGTATTTTGATTTTATTCAAATCAATCATTCAGATCCTCATTCAAAGTGAGTTCAAGTTTCTTCTTTATACCTCGACCTCATCCAAGATGTTGACCCCATCAGAGTTTTTCCCGTTCAAACAAGGAATGTCTCCTGTTTCTCGCTCAAAAAAATCGTAAAAGTATAAATCGTATAAAATATATAGTGCAGAATATTTTCGTAACCATAGATCAGCTCCTCAAGACTTTTGTTATAAATGTGAACTTCTCTTCTTTTTTACTAGATGGCTATTTACAATAATTTTTTTATCCGTGACTCTCGTATTCTGCACTCTTTGTTTTTTGTCGACGATTTTTATGCTATAAAGAAACATTAGGTAAAGTTTAACATACTTCATCGCGAGGAAAGATTTGGAGACAATACGACAAGACACAAATCCTCGAATTGATTACATTTGCTGCACGAACCATGCATGCATAAGGAATATGTGTTTCTTTGCCTACCCAGAAATTTGAAGGCGAAATAGCTACCTCCAATACTCTCTGGATCTCGAGACATTCTTTCCATATCTTACTTTAAATGTTTCGCCAAAAACACACTAAACCTCCAAAACAATTGGTGTAAAACTTCTTACTCTCAAAGATTTTATCTTTTTTAAATGTTTGTCTATGCTAATTGAAAGTTCTAATATTCTACTGAAGCTAGGAAAAAAACTTCCTTAATTTCATGTGAAATTTCCCATGACATATTAATACTGCACATGCACCGTGCACCAATAAACAAAAGCTGAAAATGGCCGAGAGGGAAATAAACCGCGCACGTGAAAGCTAAAAAGTGTAAAATTTTAATGTGCGGTATATAAAAAAAATCAACTGCGGATTTTTCAAAACTTATTTTTACTAAAGGTGTATTGATATCATTGATGCCAGCTATCCGTCTACTTGAACTGTCCTTAGATTGTCGAAAACCGCCAAGCATGCTACTAAAAAACAAAGACAACAAAACGTGCAAACTTTAGCTTGAGTAAACGTACCCTCAAGTCATCTCCTGTTAAAGGCTAACCGGTGGACAGGGGGGAGGGGGGGTGGTTGCAGGTTACACTTTTGCCAAACCAGCAGGTTAGATTATAGTCATTCTTTGAAAAATTGGCGCTCATCTGGGACAGGGTTGTCGAGCGATGCAGTAAAATTAATCTTATTTTAAGAAATATATTTTAGAGGGGACGCTGGATTATCCATATTTATTAACAGCTATGATTTAACGTTGATATCAGCGTACTTACTTTGGACAAAAATCGCGGACGGACTAGAAACCTACCTTTAAGGCACTTGATATCGCAAGTCGCAACAACTCTGCCGCGCTGAGGAAGAACATTGTATGAGCTATCAGGTGTTGCCAACTTTCCCTCGACAAATCACGAATTTTCAGGAAAATTAGTGAATATTTATTCGCTGATTTTTTGGAGAATTGTATTCGAAATTGATCTAAAAAGTCTAAAATTTTCAAGGAAAATGATTCTTAACTTTCTTTAAAAATATATGCATTCTGAGAGGAAATTTGGCAACATTTGAATGCTCTTGCGGCATTTTTACTTAACGCGGCAGAACTTCCGTGTGGTGCAATAAATGTATTTGACCTGTCCTTTCCACGGTGCAATTTACCCCGGTATTTACTTCCCAGCACGAGGCGTTTATTTATTTAGTTGATTGCTTTCTTTGACCGTCATCTTTTTTTTCTTGCGTCTCAGTGGTTTTTTCTCCTGCTTCCTCTTTTTTCCTTATCGATGAGCAACTTCAACCCTAAATTTATCAAGTCTGGCAGAATGCACGCGGTAGGTATACTTGCCGGTGAACGACCCTACACCGGAAAACCAAGTATCGATTCTTGAAAGTTGACAACATACTGATTTTCGTCCATTTAAACGTATGTAAAACTATCGATTCTAGGCAGCCTGTCTCACCTAGAATCGATGTATTCAATGGCTTTAAATGGCGTATTAAAAGAGTTGCCATCTTACTGGAATCGTCACTGAAACCCCAATATTGGAGTGAGTAGTTTTTGAGTCAGGTTGTCTGTCCAGGTGTAAAAAAGAAGGGATATTTCGGAATTCTTACTAACTGTATATATGCCTCCAACTCTGGTTGATTGAGCCGCGAAGAGTTTCGAATTTTTCCTGTGCGCAAACACTTTCAAAGATATTTTATCAAAGAAAGACACGACTTATTAAAAATGGATGGGAAAAATCGAAAATTAAATCTCTTGCCACTAAAATTGATTATTTTAAGAAAATCGGCGAGAAATTTTCGTTTTTCCCAACGGAAAACTTAGCAGTTTTTATTAGGGAATGAGTCCATCGAAACTTTTCAAAATTGCCACGTATGGTGCATTTTTGCACAGATCAGATTGTACACATGATTTGCATTTTTGCGAGGAAATCTCCCTGGAAATTTTACCAGAGGTCGACTGTAGAAAGAGAATCTTTTATTTTTGCCCCGGAAATTCGCTGAGTTGTCCGTTCATAAAAAGCTGTATTTGCCGGTATGGTAACTTTGTGATGGGCATCTTTCTTTGTAAAAAATTGATGGAAAATCAAGATTCCTCATACCTTCAAGTACTGGTATCCGAATGTTCAATTGATCAGGATTGTGAGATTAAGAGAAAATTTGTAAAATATTAACTGTAAAGTATGATGAAAATTGACCCAGCAATAGTCTAAGAATGCATCTTGAAAGTTGAATCGATATCTGCTTGAGCGAGGCTGAGAGAAATGCATCACAATTCCCTTGATTCAGGATGCTGTCGGTATACTATAGACGCAAAATATCTGATTACGTCCGATGAACATAATTTCATTGGCGATGATCCTCTCAACCCCTATGCAACTCCCCGCAAGCAAAATGTAATTTCATCATATGAAACTCCAAACCTGCTATCAGCCTGTGGTGAAATTTGAACCGCACGGGTTCGTGCTGCGTAAGGTCAAAGTTGCATGCAGTAAATTGCGCACGAGATATATTTTGAACAAAAGACTACTTCCCGCGTAATAATGCTAACACATACGAAGCATCCTGCGGTATCAAGCTTTGGCAAACTTCTCTAGGTCACGGCGCTTCCCACGTTGTCGATCCCTTTTTGAAAGTTCCTTTGCTTTTTATTGGTCCTGGCGATAACATTTACTTGAATTTACATCATTTGGCAACGTTGCATCAAAAGCTTACAGCTGACGTATGCTTCCATCATAGTCATCACAAATTTATTAAAAATTACAGGGATAGTAAGAGATGGTGGGGAAAGCGTATGCGTGGAAGGGGTTGATCTCGTTTAATTCTTTGTTTAAACGGTGCCAAGAAAAGTCTAAAGGCAGAAAATTTGGACGTATTTGAACCAAAAAGAATTATCTTCGTTATGGTGTAGGCCCTGTAATACATGTTTTCCAATTGGTCCAAGGGCCCAGATCACAGTATGGATAGTTTCGCACACAGTTGGAATATAGAAACACTTTCATTTTTTTACTCGTATGTTAATAAATAAAAAAAAAGAGAATAGAGAACAGAGAAAAAAAGATATATCAAAAAACCGTGCCTGAAAAAATTGCTGACTGTACCTATTTAAAAGTCCTTGCAGGTTCCACAAGATGAAATACTTACCGGAGATTTTGCAAAGCCCCCCCCCCTCCCCCCCCCTCCAATAATAGTCAGATAGTCTCTATCGGCGAAATTGTTGTAGATACAATAACTTTCACTAGAATCGTGTCGACAAATTCAAATTTTTTAATAGGATGCCTTTCGGTCGTAGGAGAGTATAGTTTTAATTTGCGTGATACCATTACACAATTACAGTAAACGCGCTTCAACCTACACTAGAACTCAAACCTCATCCGATCGGAGAGTATACCTTAAAAAATTTGAGTCGCGGTTCACGCGATACTAACAAAATAAATTTTCAATAACAAAATAAAGAAATTAAGAAGATAATCAATTGCACGTGTACCAACTTTTGAGATTGTGCTTCATTGCCGTCGAGTTTACCTGCCGTTTTTGTTTAAACTTGTCACGACCGTCACATCGCACAGGATATTTTGTGTGTAAAGGGGGGGGGGGGAGATTCCTTATAAAAAAAGATACCGTATTAAATTAAGCCTGAAAATATACTTGACTAGGAAAACAAACCCTCGATACAAAATAATTAACTTAAATGTTTAATTATATAGAAGTCAAATGGGACAGTTTTCGTAGAAGTGCCCATATCGACTGTGAAACTACCAGACCACGTATCCCAGTTTGCGACGTTGCAGACCTCCTACCATACTTCAATCTTAAATAAGAAACTACTCAAAGCCAGTTCTTGAAAACTTCCTTGATTTTTCTTTTCTGTGCGAACAAAATTATGTGAAAACTTCAAGGAATGATAAATAATTGTTCTCCTTGAAAGAAATAAACTGAGAGCGGAAATTTTTTGACACCGCAAGCGAGATACGTAGCTGGTAGTTTCGCCATCGATATGCGTTTCACGCGGACCAGCAGGCAGCGATCGCACTACGTTCGACGCAATGCGTGAAGTATTCCTGTAGTCTTGTAGGCGCTAATATGCCGTCCGCACCGTGTTAGGCGCAATGTGTGAAGTATTCCTGCACCCTTGAAGGCGCTATTACGCTTTGCGCGGCGACCCGCTACTAGCAATAAAGAATTAGA